TCTCCAGTCTTATCTATTTATAGTGCCAAACCTCAACTACAGTGTGATCACTACTTCTCTACTTAGGTTCTTATAAATAAATTTATGTTTTCTCATGAAATTCTCTTTGTTCCTAATTCAGAAAGTTACCTTTATATCTTCCTTTGCTTCTTGGCAAGCAGCATAAGCACCTGCTTTGACAGCCCGACGACCCTAATTACAGACAAAAATGAGAATTAGATAGTGGAGTGATAACCACAATTAAGTAATGTACAACCCACAGACTTAATGAGTTGTTAATTATGAATTATTTATTGACTAAAAGTTTTAAGATACTAGAATAAAAGTCAGGTATGGTAACACAAGCCTCTAATCCCAGCAACCAGGAGGCAGGCAGGAGGATCTCAAGCCTGAAGGGTAGCCTGGGCTATATAATGAGACTCTGTCTCAAAATAGGACTAAGCCAGGAATGGTACCACACACCCATAATCCCAGAACTCAGGAAGTAGAAGCAGAAGATCAGGAGTTCAAAGTCATCCTCAGCTATATAGCAAGTTTAAGGCCAGCTGGGGCTACTACATGCAACCCTATCTCAAAACAACAACAACAAAAAAAACCACCAAGAGCTAAGGATGTAGCTCAACAGAAGCGCTTTGCCTCATGTGCCAGGTTCCATCCCCAGAAGTGTATATAACAAATTTTGGTCATTTTTAATCCTTATTACCCTCTTCCACTGAAACCCTTCTTCTTCCAAACAAGTCCCCCTCCTACATTTTTGTTGTTGTATTTTATGTGTTTTGCCTGCATGTATGTAAGTGCACCACATGCATGCAGTGCCAGAGAAGGCCATAAGAGGGCATCAGTTCCTCTGGAAATGCAGTTACAGACAGTTGTTAGCCACCACGGGGGTGCTGGGAATGGAACCCATGTCCTCTGCAAGAGAACCAGTGCTCTTAACCACCAAGCCATCTCTCTGGCCCACCTCTCCCACTTTCATGTCTTTATGTATGAGTCTAGGATTGCTTGCATGGATGTGGTTGGTGGTTTATTTACTGGTTTATTAGCATCATTATCACTGGAAGAAAATGACACCACTTCTCCCAGCAAACATTAACTGCCAATAGTCTCTCAGGGAGGGATAGGGTCTCACACACCCCTTCCCCATCCATAACAATATACTGACAGGTCTGACTTTGTGCAGGTAACCACAGTTCCTGTGAGTTTAACAGTGTAACAGTCATGTCATGTCTAGAAAAAAATAATCTCTCAACATTTCTCTCCATACTCTGGCTCTTACATTCTTTCTGCTGTATCATCCTCATGATGGGTTGATAACACATGTGTCATTTAGGGCTGAGCTCTCAATAGTCACTTATTACCAGCATTAAAAAAAATTTTTTTTTTAGATTTTTAAAAATTTGAGAATTCTTAGCATTTTGACCAGTTATGAGCCTCTGCATTAACCACTGCTCACTGCAAAAAGAAGCTTCTCCAATGAAGGTTAAGGGTAGCACTTATGGGGCTGGAGAGATGGCTCAGTGGTTAAGAGTACTTGGCTGCTCTTGCAGAGGACCTAGATTCGATTCCCAGCACCCACATGGCAGCAAACAAGCATCCATAATTCCAGTCCCAGGGCATCCAGTGCCTTCTTCTGACCTCTGTGGGCACTGTACCACATGGGTACACTTACACAAATGCAGGCAATACACTCAAACACATAAAATAAAAATAGATAAAATATTTCTTTAAAAAAAGAGTAGCACTTATTTATGAAAAATTCATAAATCCTATCCAGGTATGGTAGTACTTAGTACCCAGGAGGTAAAGGCAGAAAGATCAGGAGTTCAAAGCTAGACTTAGCTATGCAATGAGTTTGAGGTCATCCTGGGGTACATGAGACCTTGTGTCAAAAAACAAAATTCTAGGGCAGTATCAGGAGACATCTGAACTTTCAATACCTCTAGAGAAAATTTCTATCATTTAGGGTGTTAGTTTTCTTTCCTAGCAAGAAAGGAAACTAGTTTTTTACTTATATAGTATAGTTTTAATTTCTATCAGATAGTGATGAGATTTATTCAGTTTTTCAGTACTTTTCATGCATGAATTTAGAGTTTCTCAACATGTGTTCTTTAACATATTTGTGGTCCATAAATGGGCAGATGTGGCCAGACCACTAACTCTTCTAGCCCTGAAGTCAGCTAAGTTCTATATAGGATTTCCTAGTAGTTTACTCTCTTACTTATTTGTAAAAGTGTACCACTTTCTATGTGTGTCATATGAAAAAAAAAAAATCAGGAAGCAATATTTCCCTCAATTAACTTTTATAGTAACTTTATGAGGAAGAGATCCCCATTTCACAGAGGAGAAAGTAGAGATTAAGCAAGTCAGAAAGTTCTAAGTGGTAGATCCAGAGATCCATGACAAGTTTTCCATCTCCACAGCCTATGCTTCTAACATGTCTGTAATATTCCTTCTCTAGCTCCTTAGAATGCATAATATGTAATATATAAGAATTACCTAAATGTATTTAAAGTATTAATTATAACAGTAAGTCTGCCTTTACGGGGAAGAAATGGACAAAAAAACCAAGCCATAAGGAATTTTAAAAACAACAGACAATATATCTAAGCCGTAGTATGCTTAAATGCATTGATACTGGCAATTGAATCTAATACAATAGATTCTCAATCAATACAATTTGGGTGAAGGGAAATACCTCATATACAATAGGATGGCTGCTACCAAACAAAATAAAACAAAAGCAACAATAACAGCACACAAAATAACAGTGTTGTCAAGAATATGGAGAAATTAGCCTACTTGCAGCAATCTAGAGGATTAAGATGATACAGCTGCCATGGGCAGTATGGAAGCTCCTCAAACAATTTCCATGTGATTGAGAAACTCTACTTCTG